ATGCGCTGCCATATATCAAGGATGTGTCGGAAGCGACCGAGCGCATTGCTGCAGGACTAGGCGTCAGAATCGCACTCCGTCCCAAGGCTACAATGCGCAGCGGGGTCATGAGAATCAAGGATCGATTAACTCCCAATGAGCATTTGGACGTAGTGTATTGCCTACCATGTCTAAACCGTCCTATGAATTACACGGAACAGACTGGGCGCATGCTGGGTTCGCGCATACACGAACATAAGCTGGCTTTTCGACGGAGTGATGCATTATCGCAAGTGGCAGCCCACACCTACGAGACGGGTTACGAGTTCAACTTCGCAGCTGCAAGGATAATTGCCCACGCCGGTAGCAAGACGGACCGAGAGTTGATCGAAGCCTGGGCGTCAAATGAAAATTTAGTTAACCGATATATTGAGCTGGCGCCCTCATATGTTGCCCTGCACAGGTAACTCCCCCCTTCCCTGCCCCTATGACGGTTAATTTGCCCCTTCCCCCTTTAAATTTTGCTTGCTTTCGTTGACGATTTTATCTCTGACGATGGACTCCCTCAAGAGTTCGAAAGTTCAAACTAATAAAACTATGATTCCAGTGATTGACACGGCTTCTTCTTCTCAACATATACACATTCCTGGGATGCTAACTTTTGCCTCAATTCGAGCAGTTTCCGTGTTCTAGATGATACTAATGCGGAGGTTAGTGTCACCGTCTGAAGCTTTCACCATCTTCGTTACTGGCAGCGCATAGCACCATCAGCACATTCGGAAAACAGACTTCCATTCTTCATCTCGAAATCCGTGGAGGTTTTTAATGGGTTTTCATCCAAGCTGGTGCTAAATGGCCTATTATTAGGACTAAATTTCCCAAACATATTTCGGTCTCACAGTAGACTAAAAACCGCTCAGAATTCGCCCTGTGAATAAAGCGGTTCCTGTGTGCCTGAACCAAACGTGCAGCAATCTTAATGACACCTCACTGGCTTCTACGACACTCTACCCGCTATTGCATAATTTTAGATTAACGCATTTTTTGATTTGCTTATGGTTATACACTACTTATTGATGCCCAATTTTCCATTGAGAGTTTTATAGAAAATGACTGAGAGGTCAGACATGGCCCCCGATTCGGGCGACCTTGCGCTAAGTTCGGGGGGAGCTTATGAATAGGGTTGATACTGAGCTTAGAGCGAGGGTTTTGCCGCCAGAATTATTCACCCTTTCTGGAATTTTGCTCAATTACACTTTAATTATTGGGTGCGGTTTCTATCCCCGTGTCTAACCGAGTAAAGTACTCAATAACAAGCGTCACTCAATTCCTTTGGATAGTTAAGTAACAATCCCTCCTTTGGGCGGGGCCGAAGCTTTTCATTCCATGGCGAACAGTAATTACTTTGTATTGTGATCTAGATACGCCCTCTGTGTACCGATGAGTGGCAAACACTTTTGAAACCCTAGCCATAAATAAAGTCTGTTCATGGCACGAATTTCTATGTATTTGCGAGCAACATAAGCCACTGAGACAACTCCCAGCTCCATAATAGAGCATTTTTCTCTTCCAGATTTGCCCTGTTGAAAAGACAAAGACGTGCTATCCCTACTACCTTTTTGCTTGAACTAACAGTGTAACGCGTTAGCTATCCTTCTTTTTCCAGTACTTTTTCTGTCCCATAATGTGAAGGTATTTATCCATTTGAAGAAGATATTCTTTAGGATAAAAAGTAACGTTAATGAGTGAAGAGACGTGACCATTTGTCCGAAGTGGCTATGCATTGCCTTGACACAGGACACACCTTTGCATGGGATCAAACACGAATCGTCGGAGTCTGCCCCTCCAAAAATGGCCGAGAATTCCTCGAAGCCATGCACTCCGACTATTCATGCATCAACCGGCACGTAGAGTTGGATGGTATTTATAAGCACGTCAAAGGACGATGGAAAAGACAGGCCGCACAACAGAAACTAACTGAGGTCATACCTACCAATCACGTCTCACCCCACATAACTATTGATTTTTTTCGGCAGTTTTGACATTTTAGTTGTTCATTATATTTTTCCTGTTAGTCTGAAGACGAGTTGGGGCGCCAAACTCGAAAATGCACTCATTAAAGTTACTTTTTATCCCAAAGAACATCTTCTTCAAATTAAAATTTATTGGGATGCGTGTGTTCCAGTTTATATGAATGTATTTATCCATGATTTGCCTGTCCGTAACACCTGGAGCGTGGGACTAAGGGATTATTGGTCTAGGCCGCAAACGAGTCTCTTTTCTTCCCTAGCGCATTTTTCGCATTAATCCAAATCTGTAGGCTTATTTATTATATTTTTTAATCCCTGATATCCAGCAGTCACATGGGAATAAGTTATAAAGGAGGCTAATTGCAAAGTAACCAGTAAGGATCAGACGAACATGTATGCTCATTGTTCTGACAAATAGACAGTCGTGGGCAATTCTGGCGCGCCTGTGCACTGACCCGAAAAATGAGTTAACTACAAACAGTCGCAAGCCTTAGCGATTTTACGACATCGGGCATTTTCCCATCATCTAAGAAGGCCTCATCTCTATTTAGGAAGTGTAAGCCAGGATGTGTCTCTTGGAACCCAGGCAATAGTCAAAACGAGCCTACAATAAGGATGACTTTTATGGCCTCCTAAACAGTTCACATGAAGAGGAACCATCAGCAATACAGGCATGTTTTTATCAAATTCCAGGAAAAGGAAGGTTTGGTTAATGATTATAGTTAGGGTTAGAGTTATGTTTATGATCCGGTTCAAGGTGGTGGTTAAGATTCGCGTTAAGGTAAGTTAGGGTTATGTTTGGAGTCAGCGCTAACTGTAGGGTTAAAGTCAATATTAGGGCTATGGTTAGGGTTAGGGTTACGGTTAAGATGCAGAATTATTTACCGTTCCTGAAATTCTGCGCAGAGTCAGCTTTATTACTTGTTTGGGATGTTTTTCTTCCTGTATCCTGCTTAAGGTGCCATATAAAATCCTTACCAATCACTCCGCTCGTGAGAAACTCGAATCTGTCATGTAGTTCGGCGTAATCTGCCTGTATCTGCTGATCTGCAACCCCGCACGGAGACCGCATGCTTGCAGGAAAATCCAGGTGTCTCACACAATCACCACATGAAGCCGAGAAATTTGGTAAGCTCATATCCCCATGTGTTGTGTTTATTGCTTATTACTCAGCTACTGATATACTTATAGGATATAGCAATATTGGTTTATTATTAGTTATTATTACAAAACGTTCGCCTGATAACGGTAAATGGCACCATGCGAAACAACGACATGGTGAAACTTAAGCTATTACTTAATAACGTTTCGTTAACCAATAAGCTGACCCAGTCTGGTGGATACAGTTGAGAGGCTGGAAACCAAGAAAAACCCTAATGTGCCCTGACGTGTCCCAGGCCTCAAGCATGTAGTAAATCGGAATAATATAAACCCAGATTCATATGCCCTGTTGGGTTGGAGGGGATATGAGCCCCGGCGTTGGCTTTAACCAGCGTCTCCTCTGACAAAGATTAGCGTTATTAATAGTACCAGTACTACCAACACTCAACCTGCCCGACAAGCCAAGTCCTTACAGACTTTTCAACTGCTGGAAGGCTATGGTCTGCGTGGTTGGATTGAACTTATCTGGAAGATATAAATCGACCTACTTGAACACGAAAATTACAAAGTTTTGAATCTACGGGCACCTGACAAGATTTCTCATAAACCGTGATGTAGATGTTACTTCTGGAGTTGGCTGCATTGAGCCTATTCTCAACCCGATTTTTGAATAAAGAAACCCCTTCTTCTGAGATCTACGTAAAGTTTTTAACGAATCTGCATTTGAAAACAAGCATACAGAGATACAGCACTTTATACCAAAATCTACGTCTTGGGGCAGGTTTGCCTTGCTGGAGTGTCTCTGAGGTGCATATTTCGCACATGTCTCTGCATATTGGAGGAGATGCTAAAAGAGCGTTGGCAGTGCGGACAGTGATAGGGCTGTTCGCCTGTATGCGTACGAAGGTGCCGGTTGAGGTTAGCTACCCGCGGAAAAAGCTTGTCACAGACGGGGCATCTATACTGACTCCATCTGCTGGACTCCACTCGCTCTGTGATTGGATGGCACCTGGCAGCAGAAATCCCACACGGGCTGCATTCCGGTGGGCTGCTTTGGTCTTCACCAAAGTTCAACGCTGTTGAACCAGCCAGAGCAGGAGGTGAGTGACTCCGGTGAGCGGCAGCGTACTGATGGCGCGAATACGGTTGAGTGTCTTTTCTCCGTCCAAATACCGTTCTGAAGTTGTTGCGTTTTTGCACCGACAGGGCAGAAGGAGGTGCCACATGTCTCAGTTCATTCTCAAAGCGACCTTGAACCTCTTCTGTCTTCACCTCGGATGCAAGATCTGCTTCGGTACTGAATACAGCCGTAAAGACGGGGGGGGTAAGAGGAGGAACAGATGTGAATGTGAATGAAGTCAGCGACGTGCGGGTTAAAAAAGAAATCAGCTTGAAAATTGGCGCTTGGGATCGAGTGACTTTTATTGTGAGCGCCGCGTAACTTTGAATTGTTCATTAAAACGTTTCATCGAGCAGAATCCCCACATGTTTAAGGCTTTATAGCATTGGTTAAAAAATCCTTTCAGAATTGATCGTCTACTCATTACCATCGTGCTTTGTTTAATTTCCAAACCTATGCATAAATGTCCAAGGAAATTACAGAAGGCAGGATGGAAACTGGTGGTCCTGTAACAGAAAACACATGGGAAACGCTGGGGGACCCACTGATGAGCCCAACCCCTCACAGCTACGTCACGAGGCTGCACAAAATCGGCGAAATACGCAGTAACTGATAGTTGGCAGCTCAAATATTCATAAAAACGTTCGAGCCGAGCCTGAAAATATTTCTTCGGAAGGATTCACTCCAATTTCTTTAAGTATTTACAGTCAAATTTAAGTTGGTCACCAACCTCAGGTATCCCTAGACCCTATTCCTGTGGTTACATTTAGTTCTATTATTTTCCGTTTAGTTTGGCTTTTATTTTATCACTAGTTTAGTAATTTTGTTGTTCTTTTTAGTTTAGTTAGACTACGCCAATTTTAGAGAAATATACTTAAATAAGTAGTATATACTACGGTAAACAGAACTAACTCAATAAAAACTAAACTAAAACTAATTTGAACCCATAAAATAAATAATAAACTTAAAATAACTAATGCTACCGGTCCCGTAAGACATTGGTATCTAAGGTAGATGAAAAAATTAACTTTTATCGTATTCCCATCAGAAAGTAAACAAGCCAATTGCATCTTTTGTAAACAGATGCCTCTGTAAGAAGGGCTGGCTGATCTCCTGTTGCTGCCAAACTCACTTCCCTCAGACAACACAATGACAATTCAGCTTTTTGATCTCCTGAGAAATTAATTTCTGTTTGCGGTATGTATCAGTGTATTTAAGGTCTACAGGCGTAGACCGAAAGTAAGTTACAACATATTTATTCTACTAAAGTCTATCTGTCGGCAGGAAGGGGATATTTCACAGTGGTTGACGGGTTTCAACCCAAATATACACTTACGATTTCGGTCTACGCCTACAGACCTTAAATATCCTGATATATACCGCGAACAGAAATTAATTTCTCAGAAGATTAAAAAGTTGAACTTTCAAAACCGATATATCAACCAGAAATCAGACAGGGAAAGCTGGGAGACCCACTGATGAGCCGGACCCT